GAAATGGTTTATCTTTTCTTTTCCGCATATAAAATTTTTGATAGTTTCTTGAATTATTTATATGACAGTTTATAACTTTTGGGGAACCATATGGTTGGTACATCTATTTTAGAATTTCACATCACTTAAATAGGTTGAAGCATAGTCTATTCTGGAGAAAACTGATAAGAGCAAATAAATTAAAGGAAATTAGCTCAAAAAAAGCTTGAAGAAATAAGATTTACCTGCACGGTCATGTCTTTGAGAGATTCCATGGCTGGCAAAACAACCCAAAATAAACTATTATTTAGTATCATAACCTTGTGGAAATTGGGTGTGTGTGTGTGTTTGTGTGTGTAGGTGTGTGTGTGTTTTATTGTAAATTTTATCCTATTTTACATATATCTATAAGCAGTTAGGTGTTTAAAAACTATTGAATGCCCAAGACATACAGGTAGGTATCATTAAAACATGTCAGCCTTTTTGTTCAAAGCTTAGAGGCAAATTGTAGGTAAAGGAATGTTTATGAGACCTCCACCTATTTCCTCAGTAGTTTGTAACAAGATGTCAGAAACAGAGATTAGGACACAAACAAGCAAAACCTTCCCCCCATCTTTGTTTTACCTGAACTTACCCTAAGTAGAAACTAAATCAACTTGGGACTACTGACCTTGGCTTTCTGCAAACCAAGTGCTAAATACATATGGGCAAGGTAAAGTTCACACAGCATGATCCTGAGGGCAGAGCTGATGGTTTTACAGCCAAAAGGTTGTCCTTGGCAGTGAATACCCAGCAGTTTTCAAAATGATAAGATCATTTCTAGTCAGAGGGGACACCCTTCCTCCTGCAGAAACCCCAGACAGCATCTTTTATAATAATCAACGCTTTAATTCAAAGTTATAAAAACTCAGATTCATTTATTACTTATATTTAAATGTTTCTGGTTTAGCTGTTATGTGATGTATATACACTTCAGATTGCACAATGGTATACACATTTTAGAAATAATAACTAGCTATTTCTTAAAAGCTATCTTGAGGAATATCTGCTTCAACTGGCAA